CGGTGAGAGCCACGCAGATGCACGTGAACACCGAATTCTGTTCACAACTATGTCAATGCATGTCTCTTCAAGTATTCTTGTAAACGCAGTTGCTTATGGCTTAGGTGAAGGCAAACAATTGAGAAAGAAAATGGATGTGTAACAGTATATTGGTTCACAGCAGTTTAATGTTCCCGAGGCTTTCTGTGCCATGAATGTTAATCAAACAACAAAAAACAGAGAGAAAAATCACTTTTGTAGCTTTAACACAGATTTTATATCTATGCTTGTAATTTGTTTATTTTCTATGCTGATTTACTCGCCTATAAAATCACCCCAATCATTGAGTATTTTTTTCCAAATAGAGCTATTCAAGTCATATGGTGATTATTTTATTTTTTATTTTTTTTCCGCAGAAAAACAAAATATCGCAATGTGAGTTTTTTTTTCCAATATCGTGCAGCCCTAATAGATAAGCTTGACAGCTGTTTGAAACTTGCACATTAGATCAAAAGTTTGGGGACCGCATAAACACATTTCATTACACCAAATACACAAAATAATGTTCTTTTTAGCAGCATCATATGACCCCTTTAAGATTTTTTTAAGGAAATTATTAATACTTTATGCAGCAAGGATGCATTAAATTGATTAGAAGTGACAGTAAAGATTTTTAAATTGTTACCAAAATTTCCGGAACTTTTTCAGAACTTTCTATTCATCAAAGAATCAAAACAAAAGTTCCACAAAAATAAGAAGCGGCACAACTGCTTTCAACATTAATGATGTTTCTTGAGAACCAAGTCAGCACATTAGATGTTTTCTGAAGGATCATGTGATGCTGAATACGGGATAAATTACATTTTTAAACATTACAATAGAAAGGCTATTTTAAATTATATTTCCCACTAGTATTGTTTTTACTGTATTTTGAATTAAATAAAATGTAGCCTAGGTGAGCATAAGGGGCTGTGTTCAAGAAATCTTACCAACCACAAACTTTTGAGCGCTAGTGTACTGTTTGATATGTTGTGTGTTAAGTATAAAGTTCTTCCGCAGCTGCTAGGGGACCGATCTTTGAGGGTGGATATCGCAGAGGGCCGAAGGCAAGAACGTGGCGCCGGAGGCTTCGGCTTCCGGAAAGACGACAGAGGTACTGTGTGTGCGCCAATATATCAAAATATTACTGTCGTGCATTAGCGCAATCGTTTTATCTTGTACTTCTATTAGTGCTGTTTTCTCTTTCTTACTGTTGATATATTGCTTGTGTGTTTCCCTTCAAATATTGTGGCCTTTATATTCTCAGAAATGAGCAATGCTAGGGATGGACGGTCCCATTGTATTTACATTATAATTGTCAACCAAGTAGAGATTCTGTTACACTGTGTGTATCAGGTTTTCTAGAGAAAAATCTTCAATTATTTAAAAAAATAAGTAAAACAAGATATATGGTCATGTAGATTAGCATTTAAAGTTTTTGGCATGAGGTTTTTTAACATTACTGGAAGTATTTACTTGCATTTTATAGAGTCAGATGGTAAATTAAGAATTTATTCAGTTACATGCTCAGTTACACAACTCGAGTTGTGATTTTTAAAAATATATTTGTTTTAATTCGATAAAAAGCACATTTGATCTTCAGGTGAAAAAGACAGACTTTTCTCTGATGCTAATCATTTAGTCCACTTTAACCTGCCCGGCCACAGTTGACTGCTATTAGACACTATTATCTTTTATTTTAGAGAAAATATGATGTACATTTGTAAAACATTTAATTTACTGAATTACCCCAAAAATTGCAATACCATATGCTTAATACAAACCGTTTTTGTTGAAATTCTTTGTGATGTGCCATAACCAGGGTTTTGGTCGTACTGCCAACCCTTAAGCAATGCTTGATATTAGCTTGAGCTCACTTTGTGTCTTCTGTCTCTTATTCTGAACTGTCTCAGCTTGGTTATATTGCATATAGCTACAAATATTTAATTCACTGCTCGTACAAGCATTTCTTAAAGGGGTAGTTCACCCAAAAAATTTAAATTCTGCAATTTACTCGCACACAAGTTGTTCCAAGTATGCGAGTAATCAAACGGTTTCTGGTCTCCATTGCGTTCTTCAAAATATTTGTTTATGTTCAGCAGAAGAAAGAAACTCATACAGGTTTGGAACAACTCGAGGGTGAGTAAATGATGACGCAAATGTCTTTTTTGGGTGAACTATCCCTTTAAGCCGACGGGCTTCTCACAGTCATTGTTCATGTACATGTTTCATCTTTAGATATTTTTTTTCATCCCTCAATAGAAAACCCTTTCTAGCTTCTCTTCCTTCCCCTCTAACAAACGGAGTGCTTTCCTATAGGCTAAACTTCCTGTTAGCGCTGTTGGCAGATGATCTCTGATTGGTTCAGTTGAACCGTTCTGTGGGTGGGTCTCTCTTTCACCCTGAACTCAGCTTTGAATTGTTGCCCCTATTAAACAGCCCCCTGTCCCTTTCAGGCCGTGGTGGCTCCCGTGGGGCCAGAGGAGGGGGACATGACTCCAGAGACGACTACGACCAGTCTGGAGGAGGTGTGGCGTGTGAACTGGGCAAGAACTCTAACCCTTGTGGAGTTAGCACTAGATAATCGGCTCTAGATAGTCATTTTAGCAAGAATCTGATATAGCACACATCTGTGGAATGATATGACCACAGACAATTCAGATGTGTTCCTTTTTTTGTAAAAATGATCAGAAGACATGTTTAACAATACATTTACTGGATGAACGCCTAGTAAGCAAAGGACATGAAGAAAATGAAAGTTTTTTTTTTTTTTTAGGACAAGATTTTC